CCGTTCTGTGTCTGCAGACCTGCCTGAGCCGTGCAGCCGCTGCTCCCTTCTGCCCCGGCAGCTCGGGCAGGGTCGAGGGGAGCCACCCCGGGGAGGAGTGGGCCCCCTTCCCTCGTCTCCAGCCGACTTTCCGCCACAGGCTCTCAGCTCACTGGGAGCGAAGCGTCCCCTTCCAACCAGTGTACTCGTCACCATAGAGAAACAGACGCGAGGGGCTTCGTTTTAATTTTAGCTTCATTTCTGTGTTTGGAATACACACACAACTGTTCCTGGTCCCAAGAAATCGTACTGTAAACGAAGCTAATTAGATTCTTCCAAAAACAGTCTTGAATTTCATTGAGTCGCGCTTCGAAAGGAGAAAGCAAGGGCTTCTGCTAAACAGAACTCGTGGTGGTGGGCGGACAGTGGGAGGCCACCGTCAGCCGTCCGCAGGGATTCCTTTGCCAGGGCTTTTGATCATCAAACCTTCCATTTTCAAAGGGAAAAAAGGACGGCCTCCTGATGCTACTGGAACTTTCCTTCGTAGACTGACAACTGGAAACAGGCTCCCCGCTGTGCGTAAAGGAAGCCTTAAGTCCTAGACCATTCATAAACTTCTCTGAGTGCCTGCTGTGTGCCACGCACCAGAGAAACAGCATGAGTGAGATGCCCAGCACATAGTAGGTGCTTGATAAGAATTAGTCGAAGGATAAGTGAGTGTAGTCACTGTGAGCTAATGGTTTGGCCATCCTCTCAACTTCCTTTTGATGAGTCCCGTCACACTGGATTGCATGTTAAATCGCCTGTCCTGGAAGTGGCCTGCCAAACAGGTCTTGGGCTAGGAAGAAACTGTGGGGACCTGGTGGGTCGGGCACTTGACATTGGCCCAGCGTGGCACCTGAGAGCACAGGCTGCCTGTGCCAGCATCCTGTCTTCCCCTCTTATTGGTCTTGAGATCTAGGCACGGGACCTCAGTGGCTCAGTATTCCCATCGGTGAAGTGGGGACAGTCGTGGGACCCACGCCATAGGACTGTTGTGCTGATGACACGTGTGACTTCTCGGTGTGCCCTGAACGCTCTCTGAACGGTCAATGCCACCGTCTGTGTGTATGGGTTGCTCAGTCTCCTCTGATGCCTATTTTTCCCTTAAGGTGACCAGATTGTCCCGCGTTTGGTGGGTCAGTCCAGATTCCTAACAATTGTTCCGGCGTCCCACGGCGTTTTTAAAAAAAGCCCCAATTTCTGGAAAGAATCTTGCCAATCTTTCCCGGGACGCAGGAAACATTGTTAGAAATCTGGACTGTGCCGAAACCGGTTTGGCTCAGTGGATAGTGCGTCGGCTTGGGGACTGAAGGGTCCCGGGTTCAATTCCTGTCAAGGACATGTACCTTGGTTGCGGGCACATCCCCAGTAGGGGGTGTGCAAGAGGCAGCTGATTGATGACTCTCTCTCATCGATGTTTCTAACTTGCTATCTCTCTCCCTTCCTCTCTGTACAAAATCAATAAAATAAATTTAAAAAAAGAAAAGAAAAGAAATCTGGACTGTCCTGCCAAAAGTGGGACGATGTGATCACCTTACCTAAGACACACACAGGATCGCCAGACTCACGTGTCTCCCGGGCCTGCAGAGGCCCCGTCATTGGCTGGGAAGAGTCCGGAGTCAGGTTGGAGTCTCCGCTTGGCCACTTCCCCCCCACGTGGCCTTGACCTCGGTCAGGTTCCCGCCGTGTAGGAGGTGATCTGTGCCGTGCAGGTCCTCCCTTCGTTGGGCGAAGTGTCACGCTCCCCCACGTGCCCAGCCTGCGGTGAGCAGCGCCCCATAAATGGTGGGATTGTGATCGTTCCCATAAGAGAGCACACAGGGCCCCTTTGGCTCCTGTGGCCTGGGGAGCCAGAACCACTTCCCGCGGCAGCGCCTGGCGCGGTCCGGGCGGCTCCGGCGGCCTCGGGAAGGGGCCCGTGCTGCAGGCCCCACACGGTCAGAGCGCTGTAAAGGCCTTGTATTAGAAAAATAAACCAATTAAATAATACTGCCCCCCGTAAAAGCTGGCTTTTAATGGATTGCGCGCCGGGGTTCTCTCCGTGGCGGTCCCCGCCGCCGCAGGCCGCGGCCAGCCCGTCTGCCGCCGTGGGGAGGGCTTAGTCTTGCATGGCGAGGGCGTAATTTTACAAGCTTTTAGGGCTGTGTGTTTTTTTTCTCCTCCGAAGTGTTGCTATGTCACTGTGCACCGAAGGGCAACGTGCGTGCGTTTCACGGTGTACCTCGTTGTGGGTGGAAATGAAAAATGAAGTAGTAAATTAAAGAAAAACACAACATGGATTCTCCCCCGCCCCCCTTCATCTCGAGGCAACTGGGGAGGAACAAAGGGCCAGTGTTTCCCCCGCCGCCTCCTGATCACACCTTAACGGCCTTTATGTGCGGACAGTTGCATGCCCATCGCCTTCTGTCCAGAGAGTCGGTCACCTCAGTGTGTTGGGGATCACACCGCTGACTCCAAGATTACCTGGGGCCCTTCTCTAGGACCGGGGCCGGCAGACTGCAGCCTGGGGGCCCCATCTGGCCCATCCTTTGTTTCCGTGAGATGGTGAAAAGAAAGCAAAAGAAAAGTCCTCTTTCCTGACCTGTGCAAGCGAGATGGAATTCCGTACCCACCGATGGAATTCGTGTCCATCGATGGAATTCCATGTCCATTCATTTCCACGTGGTCTGCGTGGCCCAGGGGAGAAGGGGCGACAGGGACCAGATGGCACAAAGCCAGAGCATCGTCTGGCCTTTTGGAGAGACATTTGCTGGCCTGGCCCTCCGGGGGAAGGGAGGAGAGAGAGAAAAGGCAGCTTGGAGTGTCCCCGAGTGGGTGGCATACCCTCGGGGTTTCCCCGTGGCTCCAAGGGGAACTGCAGGAGGCGTGGGTTCACCTGGGGACCTTCCAGAAGGAATCAGCTCCTGGAGATGGCTCCCCTCTCCTCGTGGACCTCGGCTTGGTCTGTGTGGCTCTCCTGGCAGAGAATCCCGAGGCCGGCCTGAGGGCTGGCAATATCTCACCAGCTCCCTCGGTGGCTCAAGAATGACGTCCCCACGTCCCCTCAGGGGGAGTGATGTGTGTCATGTATTCTGGGCAAATCTAGTTTATGATCTCCAGTAGCTTCAGAGATTTCTAACACACACACACTTTATTATCATTATTATTATTTTTTTTTTTTTAAAAAATATATATTTTATTGATTTTACACAGAGTGGAATTGAGAGGGATAGAGAGTTAGAAACGTCGATGAGAGAGAAACATCGACCAGCTGCCTCTTGCACACCCCCCACTGGGGATGCGCCCGCAACCAAGGTACATGCCCTTGACCGGAATCGAACCCAGGACCTTTCAGTCCGCAGGCTGACGCTCTTATCCACTGAGCCAAACCGGTTTCGGCTATTATTATTATTATTTATTTATTTATTTATTTATTTTGCTGCCACCCAGTTAAAACATTCTGCATATAGTAGTAACTCATTTAGTCCTCACACCCAACCCAGGGAGCCACGTCCTTCTGATGGGAACTCACGCGGTGAAAGATGGTTAGCTTTGGTTATGCCGTTAACAGGCTTGGGAACTGGTGCATGGGGGGAGCTATTGTTCCAGGGGCTGGAATGTCTGACCGGGCCCGGCCAGACTTGAGGAGACCCACAAGGGCTTCGACCCCTGTGCCCCAGGAAGACGGCAGCGGCCAAGACAGGGTCTGAGCCATGGAGCTCCGGATGCAGATCCAGAGCCGCCGGTCCGCTGACAAAGGGATGCTCGGAGAATCACCCTGCGGTGGCTTTTCTCTGATGAACCTTTTCCCCTGAATCCTAGACACTCCCCCGACATGTCCCTTCTCTTTGTAAAAGGGGTTGGTGGCTTGAGATGAGACGTAAGACGGTCTTTTAGGGTCCATTACCCCCTCCCCCCCGTCCTCTCAGATCGCCGGCCGCCTGAAGAAAGCCCCCATCGAGAAGACTTCCTGGTTCTGGGAGTGACGGGTGGCACGCGTGCGGACTTTTCTGGTTTCCCTTGTCCCATCCCCGTTTCACAGACCAAGGAACAGAAGCACAGAAAGGTTAGGCATCTTGCCTAAGGTCACACAGCAGGTGAGCGGGACAGCCAGGGTCCAAGCCCAGGCCATCTGCTGCGGAGAATGTCCTGCCGCCGCTCTGTCGGGGTGGGATGTTTAGACTGTGAAAGGACCTGCTTGGCTCCTTCCCATCATGTCCCATCATGTCCGTGCACAAGAATATCGCCTCCTGTGTGCGAGGAAGGCTCTTGTTCATTCATTCATTTCCCTCCCTCCCTCCCTTCCTCCAACAAATGGTTATCCAACGGCTAACTACGAGGGGCTGCACCGCGTGAGGGTGTTTGAGAACAAGAAGAACGAAACCTGAAAGCATCGTTTCCCTTTAAACATCGTTCTGGACGTTGGGCTTCTGAGGAGTTCCCTTCACTCCCCTCTTTGGTCCATGGCCCGTGCCCCCCGAGTCTGTCTGGGACACGCTCTTCCTGTCCGCCTGCGGCCGGTATTCTCGCGAAGAAGAACCTCATCGAACTAGAGGCTTTGGGGAGGCCAGGCCCCTGACTCATTCCGTGGGGGGCCTCAGGGGGCCCGGCCCTGCTCTGGGGACCGCATGCCTCGGGGACCAGGAGCGGGAGGTGCTGACGGACGGTTGAGGGAGGAGGCCGAGGTCGCCCAGGCTGGTGCTGGCACCACTCCCTGTCTCAGAAGCAGCTTCATTTCAGGGTGTGCGAGGCCCGTGTTGTTGTCGTGGTAACTGCTGGGAAGAGCTTCTGGCATCCTCTCTGCCCGCCGGGGGTGGGGATGCCTGGATGGCGGGCAGGCAGGCAGGGCGGCCCCGGGGCCCCGGAAGGTACAGCTGTGCTAGAGCCGCTTCTCCGTCTGCCCTCCCACCTGGGGCTGCTCCCCGCCCCCCGCCTCTTCCTCGGTCAGACCACACACGTGCGCTGCCCGTTTCTGATGAGCCCCCGCTTTCTCTCCTCAGTCATGCGGAGGAACCCTTTCGGCGTGGACATCTGCTGCCGGAAGGGGCCGCGGAGCCCCCTGCAGGAGCTCCACAACCCGACCCAGGTAAGCCCTGAGCTTCCTCGTTGTCTCTGTGCATCGATTTTGGGGGAGCGGGGCGGGGGGTGGGAGGGGACGGGGCGATGAAAAACTCCGAAATTCTATGCTGTGGGGGTTTGAAACTTCTTGCACTGCCTGGTGTTATACCTCCAGCGCTTGCTTTTTCTGGGTCACCCTTTCTCTGCGCGATGGTTCGGGTTAGATACTTCCGTGGGGTCCAGCTGGAGCGAGCCCCCGAGATCCGCACAGGTGCCGGGGGGTGGGACTCAGTGGCAGAGCTGGCGGGCTGTGCCGCCTCCCCTGTGGCACCCCCAAAGGAGGTGCACATGGGGGTGAAGGTGGTCATGAAAGCCCCAAGAGTTCCACCTCACCGCGCCATCTGGGCAGGACGCCTGGTGCAGGGGACTTTGGCTAAGTGGCTGTCACGGTGTACATCGGGCTGGATGATGAAAAGAGCTCCTCTGAGCAAACATACGCGCCAGCCTCGGGGGAAAGTGCTCTTCGTGGCGATCGTGGGTCTTGACGAGGAGGCTCCGAGGCTGGTCCTTTTGTGGGAACGTTCACTAGCACTGGACCTCGACGCTGAGAACCGGTGAGTGAACCACCCGCGGCCCGTCCGCTGACCTGCGATCGCTGTTAGGAAAGGGGAAAAGGGTTACTGCTTTGGCCACCGTCTCTGAGCTTTATTGTATACCAAATTCTTTACGTAGTGTGTCTGCGGACCAAGTGGCTTGGTGGAGGCCAACACGGCGTGGTCCTCCAAGGTCCTGGGCTCCCAGAAGTTTTGCAAAGGGCTGAGCCTGCGGACGTTCAGATCCCTGTCTCTTCCCTGTCAATCACCTGCACTTCCTGCTGGACCAGGGGGCTCCGGAGGCTGCTCATCTCCGGTGGCCCAGCCTGGTCGATGCGAGCCTCCGTCAGCTGCGCCCTCCCGCTCGGAGCTCGGTGTGACTGGGCCAGGGAGGGTAGGCCCGTGGTCGGCAAGCTGCGGCTCGAGAGCCACATGCGGCTCTTTGGCCCCTTGAGTGTGGCCCTTCCACAAAATGCCACGGCCTGGGCGAGTCTAGTTTGAAGAAGTGACGTTGACGTTAGGAGAAGTTTAAGTTTAAAAAATGTGGCTTTCCAAAGAAATTTCAATCGTCGTACTGTTGCTATTTGGCTCTGTGGACTAATGAGTTTGCCGACCACTGGGCTAGGCCACTGCAACTGTTCTGAAGTAAATATCCCTCTGAGAGGAAATCCGCGGCTGTGGTGTAGAGGGCCGCCTGAGAAGGCACATGGACATTCTTTGAATTGTCAGCTGAGCCCGAGGCACTGGCAGAGTATCTTTGTACAGGTGTGAGCAGGGGCGGGTCTAGATATGTAAATCCAGTAATGCTAGGGCCTTTATTTTATTTGACCCTATGAAATAAACCTGCTGCGTGGATCGGTCTGCTTGCTGCCTCTCCATCAGAGAAGATGGCCCCCATCTAGCGCCCAGCTTGGTGAATCTATTTCTGCCTCCTTGTCTCTTTCTGTTTTCAATATAATATTTCTTAATCCCCAGCTCCTCCATTCAGGAACCTGTCAGACAGAAATCAGAGAAACAGCCTCCCCACACTTAGCCCTAACGCAGGGCCTATAGCAGATGCCCCCACATGTCTGTGATGGAAAAATGAAGATCCAGGTTCAAGTTCCTACCTCACCGCCACCTGGTGCGGCAACCTTGGATGCACAGTGAGCGCTCCTTTAGGCTCATTTTTCCCGTCTCCCTGGGATGGCGGGAGGGTGAGGTAACTCGGATGTGTCAGAGGCTGTGTAAGTGTGATTCATCAGTACCATGGTCATGAGGATGGATTCAGTGTTGGAAGTCTTGACTTTAGAGTCAGACCGGGTTCAAAGAATGGTTTCCTCACTCGTAAGCTATGTGAATGTGGGCAAGACACGTAACCCCTCTGAGACCGCTTTCCTGCGTTTATAACATGGTCCTCAAAATACCAGCGTGCCTGGCTGGTGTGACTCAGTGGTTGAGCACCGACCTATGAACCAGGAGGTCACAGTTTGATTCCTGATCAGGGCACATGGCTGGGTTGTGGGCTGGGTTGTGGGTAGGAGGCAGCTGACCATTGATTCTCTCTCATCATTGATGTTTCTCTCGCTCACTCTCGCTCTCTCCTTCTCCCTTCTTCTTTGAAATCAATAAAAATATTAAAAAATGCCAGCCTTACAGGCTTACCTGAGAAGATGTGCCTTCTTCAGAGCCTCTTATGGAGTTTGTTCATCCCAGATTTATTCCCTCATTCACTCCTTCACCTGCTATTATTACAAGCACCCACTCCGGGCAGCTCCGTGCCAGGCGCCGGGCACAGAAGGGTGAGCGGTGTGTGTGGTGAGCCTTCCACATCCGGTTCCATCCCAGGGTGGACACCCGTGAGATTCTGAGCAAGTAAACCAATCAGAGGTGAGAGGACCCTCCTGGGTAGAGTCCGTCTCTCACGTCGGTGGTGTGGGAATGTCGTGTGGGTGAGATGCTCATGTAGCAGCCGTGGCCCCGGACCTGGGCGAGAAGGTGGGGCTGGAGAGGCAGGCGGCTCAGGGAGCAGCTGTGAGGGCCGAGGAGGGTGAGTCACCGCCCTCCACCGAGAATGCCAAGGGCACGCTGTCTGGCCCCCGTTGCCGGTAACCGGGGAAGTGTCCCTGCAGGAAGATGGCCCTGCTTCCTCGGGATGTTGTCCCGGGATGTTTTTCCTTCGGCTGGTTTCCTTTACAAGCTGCAATTACGTGCCATTCCCACACTGGGTCAGTCCATGGCGCTTCTGGGAGAAACCGTGGGTGCCCCTTTGGGCTGCCCGGGGGTGTTAAGGAAGAGAAACGAGCCAGCGTTCCTGCTGAGTTCCGTTAGATTTTGTGTCCGTGAGGCACTTGCCGCTTTGCACCTGATCAGGCCTGGCTGCTGGTTTCTCGTGTTTTTCTTCGTTGGAGTTGCTCAGCCTGGACTGATGTTATCACAGAGGCAGAGGACAACCCCCTCAATTGCTAGAAACCAGACTGCTCCCGGAGACCCGTGTCCCCCTTTTGATGCTGATTGGTTCTTTGCGTTGGACAGAGGGTGGTGAAAAGAGGATCCGTTTATTTCAGACGATAAGAAACCAGCATTACGCAAGAAGGCGCCGTCTTGTTCCTGTGTCCTGAGCCTGTAGGCCAGGTGCTTATGAGCATTTTGTCCTGTGCTTATAATAAGCCCCAAGCTAGGGATCATACCCTCATTTTATGCAGGGGAGGACCGGAGCCAGGAAGGTCATACAGCGTGTCCAAGGTCACAGAGTGAGGAAGAAGCAGAGCCAAGATTCAAACACAGAGCAGACGGCACACCTGTGTGTCTCTATGCTGCGCTCACTGTCCCCAGCAAACTTGTCTTGGCAGGAATTATCCCTTGTCCCCTCAAAAAAAAAAAAAAAAAAAAGAAAGAAAGAAAGAAAGAAAGAAAAGAAAAGGAAAAAAAAATACAGATTTTTGTTGGACAAAAGCTGAAAACCTCTCTTGGGAAAATGGGCTATCATCTGATTTTAGTGTCCCAAACTTTCTTATTTTAGTGCCTTGCAAACCTCTAACTGTTGAAACAACAATCGGTTAAAAATGTTTGTAGTTGATATTCTTAGAAGAACTGCCCTCCACTGTCTTATAATTTTCCCGATTCTCTGCTGCCTCCCTGGCCCCAAAAATAAAACGTAATTGCCGATCAGATCAGCTGGCGTCAAGTCACTGGGAGTTCAGGAGTTTTCCAAGTGCCTATTTGTGGGCCCTGCACATCTGGGGGCCGCCCGGGCGCAGGGCAGAGCTCCGATGTCAGCCGTTAACAGGGCATAATTGTCCCTAAACGCTGGCGAGGGCGAGACAGCTTGTCCTTCTGCCTCACCCACATCCCGGCCCTCTCGCGGGTTCCCTGGAGTCTCCTCAGCATCACTCATGTGGTTCGGCCCCGCCCTGCCTGCTTCTTTCTTTAGCATTTACACTCGCTCTGTGATTACCGCGTTCGAGAAGACAGATGCACAGCCCCGGGCTGACCAGGAATTCACAAGCGCTGAAGCCGGGAGGCTTGAGGGAGGCTCACTGGTCTTCAGGCGTTTTCCTAGGGGGCCCCTGAGGACCAGTCAGTGCTTTATTACAAAATAATAAAATCGGACCCTTACTGGTCTGTTCTTCAATGTTGTTAAAGTAGATTTACTTCTCCATAAGGTAGGAGGAAAGATGGAAAAGAGGGAGGGAGGGAGAGAGGGGGAGAGAGAGAGAGGGAGAGAGAAGGAAGGTAGGGACGAAAGAAGGAAAGAGAGGGAGAAAGGTACCATTCATTGAATAGATAATGCATCTCAGTAACTATTCTAGGTGTTTTTCATACATCTCTCACTGAGTTTTCACAGCAGCCCTAAAGGGGAAATATGGGATAACCCCATTTGCGGATAAGTTAACTGAGGCTCAGAAGGGCTGAGGTATTTGCTAGGATCACTCAGTTTCTGAATGGTAAGGCGGGTCTACCCAACCTGGAGGGGTTGTAGGGAGGTCAGAGCGGAGCACTATCTTTCCTGGGTGGACAGAAATGCTTCCTGGAGACTCTTTCTGTACTCACCCCCCCCCCCCTCCTCTGACTAAGCTGAGACATGGGATGTGCCCAGGATAGTTGCAGAATTGCCAAAGCCAGGGCCAAGGCTCATGGGATGGGACGGGACGGATGGGATGGGACGAGATGGGATGGGACGGGACGGGACTGGATGGGATGGGATGGGATGGGATGGGATGGGATGGGATGGGACGGGATGGGACGGGATGGGACGGGATGGGACGGGATGGGATGGGATTGGATGGGATGGGATGGGACGGGTCAGATGGGATGGGATGGGATGGGATGGGACTGGATGGGATGGGATGGGATGGGATGGGATGGGATGGGATGGGACGGGATGGGATGGGACGGGATGGGACGGGATGGGATGGGACGGGTCAGATGGGATGGGATGGGATGGGACTGGATG